CTCCGGCCAGGGAAGCCCTCCGCGGGGGTGCTGTGCTTCGGGACGGCCCCCGCGGCTCTCCACACGGAAGGCGGGTCCTCGTCCTCAGAGGAGCTCCACTCAAACACCTGTGCAAACAGAGCAGGTGTGGCTTCCTGGGGGGCAGGGAGCTGAGCCGAGGGGCGTCCCTGAGCCCCAGGGACAGGACCGGGGAGCACACTGTCTTGCCCGGCCGGGTGGCTCAGTGGTTGAGCATCAGCCTGTGAACCAGGAGGTCAGGGTTCGATCCCCGGTCAGGGCACAGGCCCGGGTTGCGGCTCCCTCCCCACTGTGGGGCGGCAGCAGGCAGCCTATCGATGATGCTCTCTCATCACTGACGTGTCTCCCTCTCCCTTCCTCTCTTACATCAATAAAAAATATTAAAAAAGAAAACAGACTGTCCTGAATTAAAAATAAATTTTTTTTGGGGGGGAGAGAAGTACAAAACGTTGTCAATCAAATCAGCTTCACATTTACACTCAGCATCGAGCACAACCGCCAACATGCCCTGCAGGTGTGCGTGTTGAGTGGAGGCAGGTGGGTGGGCCTGGGGCCCTCGCCCAGCATGGAGGCCGAAGGTCCACCTGCCTCCGGGGCCCCCCCCGGGGACACACGTCCACTCTCTCTCCCGGGAGCGGCTCTGAATGAACCTCCCAGCACCGGCTGGTGCCCGGACACGCGAGGCGTCTCAGAACGTGTGCACACGCGCTGGTTACCACGAGGCAGGGTTTACGGAGACTCACTTCCCTTCCAGGTGGAACTGCCGGCGGAGAAGCGCGGACACGTGTTCTGGGACCCCCGTGTCCTCCCACAGGACAGCACTGTGACAGGCCGAGAGCTCACAGATGAAACACTTCAGTGTTTTCCCCAAAACGGCCTCAGGACACCGGGCCTGCGGGTGACCTCTGCCCGTGACCTCTGCCCGGAAACACCAGCTGGGAGTGTTGTTCCTCAGCTCACCCCCCCGACAAGCCATTTGGAAAAAACCCAGAAGAAGGGTCGGTTCGCACACCTCCCCTGACACAAGTCGGCCGGGGGTTGCAACTGCACTATTTAAAAAGTCATAAATTACTCAGAAAGGAAGAATTTAAAAACCTTACACCACCTCGTTTTCCAAGAAAATTCCAAGTGGATATAAGATTGAAATGTACAAAACAAAGGCATAAAAGTTCTGGGAGGAACTATGGGTGGCTCCTCTGTAAACGTGTCGGAAGCCGGCAGGATAAAAAGCTAAAGGAAACAGAATTTAACAAATCCCGAGCCCCCGCCGGTGCGGCTCAGGGGTAGATCGTTGGCCGGGAGACCAGAGGGTCCCGGGTTCGAGTCCTATCAAGGGCATGGACCTCGTTGCGGGCTCCTCCCCGCCCGGGCCTGGTCGGGTGCGGGCAGGAGGCAACCCGTCCGTGTGTCTCTCACATCGCTGTTTCTCTCTGTCCCTCTCTCTTCCACTCTCTCTAAAAATCAATGGAAAATTATCCTCGGGTGAGGATCAACAAAATAATAAAAATAAGTAAAATCCTGTGAAGCAAAACAACACCTTTTTTTGTGAAAACCGAGGAAAACTAGGAACCTGAGAAATTCTAGAAGGAGCTAAGAAAATTCCGTGTGTCTCTCACATCGCTGTTTCTCTCTGTCCCTCTCTCTTCCACTCTCTCTAAAAATCAATGGAAAATTATCCTCGGGTGAGGATCAACAAAATAATAAAAATAAGTAAAATCCTGTGAAGCAAAACAACACCTTTTTTTGTGAAAACCGAGGAAAACTAGGAACCTGAGAAATTCTAGAAGGAGCTAAGAAAATTCGATGTTTCCTACTGCGGGTCACACCCACTCACCGACGAGAAGG